TTTACCCGCGTTTTTTTAGTTTTTGGAAGGGCTTGATTCCTGGTTTCGGTATGTGAAACCAGATCCGAGTCTTGGTGTTCGTTGCTCATCAAACATGAGGACCCCAAACCCCTGGACCTCTACACCCCAAACCCCAAGACCCTAGACCCCTAAACCTAAACCCCAAGACCCTAGACTGTTTTCCGTTTTGCTAACAAGATGCGAGACTTCCTCCCTCGTCGTTCAGGCCCTGCGCCAATGGCACCGTGAGTGGGAGGAGCTCGTGGTTGGGGATCTATAGGGGCCTTTATAAATCACCTATATGTTTTTTTTGGGTTCCTTATTATAGTTATAGTATAATATTACCCAAAACATTTTTCTAATTTTGGGGTTCCTTATTATAGTTATAGTATAATATTACCCAAAACATTTTTCTAATTTTGGGGGTTCCTTATTATAGTTATAGTTATAGTATAAGATTACCCAAAACCTCTTTCTAATTATTGAGTCCCCTACATTGTAGGGGTCAGGGCTTTGGGGCGGTCTCCGGTGTTGTGGGTTTCGGATCCTGGGTTGCTGAGCAGGCTTTAAAGAGTAGGGGCCTTTATAATTAGAATAGGGTTTAGGGTTTAGGGTTTAGGGTTTAGGGTTTAGGGTTTAGGGTTTAGGGTTTTAGGGTCCATCATACTATAATAATAAGGAATCCCCAAAATAGCATTGGTAATTATTTAGGCCCCTACATTAGCCCTCATGAAATCGTTATCCTTCCCCGTCCCCGCCTCCCCCTCCTGAGATAGACAAGAGAAGCAGGGACCCTGCATACATGCACCTTCGAAGCAGCGCAGCACCCTTGTAAAGCCTACCGGGTCTACGGCTAAAGCAGTAATCCCAAAAAGCCTGCGTGCAAAACACCCATAAATCCCAAACCCTGTGTCACTTTGCTGCACAGGAGTTGATGCCAGCGGAGGGCTTGCCGTTTCTGCCAGTCGTCTGAGGATTCTCCGGAATCCAAGATCTGCAGAATGCTCCGAAATTCCGAACTCTTTGCGGCAAACTGGAGCATCCCCGCCGGAACAAACACATCCGGGTTTAGGGCTTTAACGCTTAGGATGCTTGAGAGTTTCGGGTTGGGGATTCGATTAGTTAAAGTTCGCCACCCCACCGCCCAGCATCCGAACTGCCGGCGTCAGTACGCTTCGGGCTTCAGTTACTTCAGTTCGCCTTTTCTTGGGCCGGCGCTTCAAGGCCTACCCTAAGCCCTAAACCCCAAACCCTTAAATCATAAGGCCGTTTTAGGGGGGTAGGGGACCATACCTTCTTCAATCGGCCGTATGAGGTCCTTATTGCAGGTTAACGCCCCTTACCCCCCTTCCCCCCTAAGGGTCCTTATGATTAAACCCTAAATGTTCAGGGTTCGGGGTTTACAGTAGCCTCTTGAACTACGACAGTCCGAGATCTCAAAGCGCAAATCCGCTAACCAACCGTCTTTGTGGTTTAGGGTTCGGGTTTGGGGTTTAGGGTTCAGGGTTTGGCCACAGCGTGAATGCCACATCCAGCTTAGGGCTTAAGGCTTGCGCCATGAACTTAGACCCAAGACTCGGAGACCGAGCTCTAAATCAAAAAAGTACTCTGTTGAGTTGAATCTATATGGAACCATTAGCTTTCAAGGAACCCTTGAAAGAACTCAGAACCCGACGGGTCCTATGTTCTCTTGTGGGGGATACTTCCCTAAATCATAAGGGTAGCTCCTAATACAGAAACCCCACGTTCTCCTGTATAGGTACATAGGGCCCCTTGGGGGTGCTAGGGATCTACAGCTTCGAGCGACTCCCTCCTAACTCACTAGGGGGCTGCCAATGCCAGAGCGACGGATTTGGGGGTTCTTCCCAAGCTGCACTAGGATTGGGAATGCTATTCCGTGGCCCTAGCTTTGCCAAAGATGTAGACCCCATCCTAGACCGTTGATACTCTTTTATAGCGCTATAATCGTAAGTCATGCGTGTCTCCTTCAGGGTTGAGTGAGAAGAACCCCGGTGTGCTCCGTTGCACAAGCCGAGAGGGGTCTTCCAGCGCAGCGATGATTAAAGAGGTTTGAGGGTTGAGGATTTGGGGTTTGGGGCTCAGGGTTTGGGGGATTAGGCTGTAAGTTTAGGGTTTAGGGATTCGACTTCAAGTTTAGTGTTTAGGGATGGAAGTTTAGGGGTTTGGCCTTAAGTTTAGCATTCAGGGGTTGAGGGTTTAGGGGTTAGGCTTTTGGTTTAGGGTTCAGGGGTGAGGGTTTTAGGGTTTAGGTGAAGGGAGACCTCTACAGTGCATCTCGGGGATTCGGTAGCACTTGGTTTAGGGTTTAGGGTTTGGGGTTTCGGGTTTAGGGTTTGGGGTTGATTTCGGGTGCTGGGACAAGGAAACCGTGCGCAGTGTTTTCATGAGTCACGCGATCTTTTCCGGATTTCTTAATGGGACAGGCTTAGCTCTAACAACTGCGGATCCCACACGCCAGGAGAGGTGCCCTCCGAAATCCAAGGCCTCAAGGCTGAAATGATATCTGTCCTCGATTTCTTGCATCATGCTCTTTCGACTTAATAAGTAGGTTGATTCGCAAGACGGAGAATTAATTTTAGAGGTTACAGGGGTAACCAGGCATCTTGTCAAGAGACGCCCCATGTGCACCCCAAAGCGCTTTTTGCGTCGATTTTGGGTTCAGGGTTTAGGAGTCTTTTCATATGCGGGGATACCACGGACACTCAGAGGCTTCCACCCAGTCTCGGAGGTGCTGAGAGATAGCCCTTAAGGCCTTAAGGTCCATGTGTGAGTCTCGCGGGGCATCTGTGCCTCCAGCAGAGAATCCTAATTCGCTTCTTGGGAGAAGCAGTGTGGAAGCTCTGCTTGATGCAGCGTGTTGCAAGCAGATGAACTTAGCTTGAAGCCTCAAGCCCTATACCGCACACCGTGTGGACCCTCTTTTTTGGATCCCGAGTTTAGGGTAACCGCATTCGGAAACAAACCAAGCAGAGAAGGGCCGAAGACGTCAACAACCAAGAGTCCAATCTCCGTAACTCCCACAACCCCATTCTAATCATTCAGGCTTCTATATTCGTTCAACCCTAACTCCTAAACCCTGACCCTGTCCTAAACCCTAAACCCGGAACCGACTAAAAGCCGAAGCTTGGCTACTAGTAGCTGCCAGACGTTTAGAGTCTGAAGTGTCCGAGTGCAGAGACCCGCCCTATAAGGACACGACCCCGAAGCCCGTACAGACACTCTAGGTTAGAAGCCTGAGAAAATACCTATGTTGTTCCTTAGGGTTCCTTATTTCAAGCATAGTCTACCAAGACCCAGGTGTAGTTATTGAAGTCTTTGTTAGGCCCAGCACCCAAACCCTTCAATCCATACGCCCCCCAATCCTAGAGCTTCCAATCGCTAATCCCTAAAGCCCCTTGAGCACATACCACAGCCTCGGTGAAACCCTTGTAAGACACTTTCAAGAACTCTTGAGTAACCATGGCTTCCGACTGCTTCCTCTCTGGGCTGCCAAGCTAGGAGCAAATGCAACTGCGAACCAAATGCTGGAAGTCTGGTCTGGGTTTAGACGGTGTTTGGGGTGGGTTATCAGGCGTTCAGGGGTTTGGGGAGTGTATGTACGGGTTTCCGGGTTTGGGTATGTTTTTTTATATGGAATTCGGTTAGCTTACGGGGAGTGCAGTTGTGGTGGGTTCAGGGGTGTAGGGATTCAGAGGTTTAGGAGTTAATTGAGCGGTTTAGGAGAGGAGGCACTGCAGACGATCCGGATCTAGGGGGTGGAGTTGAGTGTCTAGAGGTGCAGCACAAGGGCTCTTGGGAACAGGAACTCATCGTTCTCGTCATGTCCACGCGACCTATGGCGAAACCTTGAGAAATACCGGGGCCAGGACTCGTCCCTTGTGGCACCTGTTACGGTAAGGGATTTCTTGCTGGCCTCTACCTAAAACCCTGGAATTGGGGGAAAAAAGGAACACGCACTGTAGAGCTTTGCTGAAAGTTCAGGCTCTCAGGGTTTAGGGGCTTCGGGTTGACGGTTTAGAGAAGTATGGTTTAGGGCATTCGGGTTTAGGGTTTATAAGGTTTCGGGTTTAGGGTGTAGGGCTCAGGGAGAGGGTTTAGGGATTCGGGATTAGGCTTATGGTTTAGGGATTCGGGGTTATAGGGCTGAGGGATTGGGGTTTAGGGTGTAGGGATTAGGGTTCAGAGTTTCGGGATTATAGGGCTTTGGGATTAGGTTGCCTTCGCGGCCAGCGGTGGGCTGCTGTTCTGCACGATCGCCCAAGGATGGCAGCATGCCTTTGGCAAGCCGGCAGTATCGCTTGCTGATTTGGGAGTTTCAGAAAAGCAACAGCCTAAACTAGAACCCTACATATAATGGCATCCTGATCATAAGTGCTTCCAAATAAGTACCATTCATGTCAAGAAACTGTCAGTTAGGAATTGGGGATCTACTTAATGGGAGCAAGTAAGTACAGGTACAGGCATTTTAACTAGGATCATAACTAGATGTAAGCATAGTTATCTAACTTAAAGCCCTAGTTACAAAGTCCCGTCCTTCCGCAATACTCTACGGCCAACGTCACCACTGGCAGCAGTTTTGCTGACCACTGTACTACCTACCACCGAGTCCTGCTTCACCTGCTATGACTCCTAAACAACTCACTCCTAAATACTAATCCCCTGAATCCTAGATCCTATACTCCCAGATCCAACAACCCGAAGGCTTACATCCTGTACTCCTCAATCCTATAAACCCGAAGGCCTTAATGTAGGGGCCTTGATAATTAGAATAGCGTTTTGGGGTACAATATACTAAGTGTAGTAAGGAACCCTCCCCCCCAAAAAAAACATGTTTAGGTCATTAATAAGGCCCATTTCTCCTAAATCATAAACCCAAGACCCCTAAACCCTAAACCCTAAACCCAAAGCCCTAAACCTTAAACCATAACCCTAAACCCCAAACCCTAAACCTTAAACCCTAAACCCTTCCGCTTCCCTGCCTTCTTTTCGAGAACCGGGTCGGCTTTGTGCGGGAGCCTGAGGCGAGCGTCGCTTGATGGGTCGAGGCGGTTTAGGGGGTTTAGGGTTTAGGGTTTAAGGGTTTAGGGTTTAGGGTTTAGGGTTTAGGGATTAGGGTTTAAGGGTTTAGGGTTTAGGGCTTAGGGATTAGGGATTAGGGATTAGGGTTTAAGGGTTTAGTGTAAAGTCATGTAAACCCTCAGAAAGCGGGCTTGTTGCTGCTCCCCGGATTTGGGTGGATTGGTGAGATAACAAAGACTGGATTCTGGCAGTGCTGGGGACTCTGGCAAACCCCCTCCACAGGACACCCAACTAGTGTCATAGGGTTTAGGGCATAGGATTTAGAATTCTCATATCTGGAGTCTGCCATTTTTCAACTTCGCTATTGGTCTCCCTGGTGCAGGTTCCGAATGCCCAACATCCAAAATTCTGAACCTCCTTCCGAGGGGAGCAAGCGAACAAAGACTCATGTCCCTTACTGCTTCTCTGTTGGTCAACAAGGCTAGGTCCTGCTAGGTATACCTCCGGCAATGGAAGTCAAAGGGTCACATTGATGATGAGGCTTACGAAGATGAGGGTGATGCTAGAAAGGATGATGGCCATCGTGATGTTGAAGAGGGCAGAACGACGACGATGGCGACCATGACGATGGTGACGAGGGTGACGATAATGAGGATCACGCCCTTGATCATGATGATGCAGTTGACGGAAATGTCGTCCCAGTGCCAGCTGTTCTCGGGCCCGTCGTATAGAGATCTCGCCACTTAGAACAGGGTTCCGTGGGATACGACAATGTATCTATAAAGACTACACGGGGAGATTAGCACTGACTATTCAGAGCCAATATAGAGTTTGTAGGGACCCTAGCCAAAATGGGCTAAATTAGCTTCAAGGTAAGTATTATGCGTGTGATTCTCGAAACTAGGGTCCCTTCTTAGGTCCCCAAAATCGTACGGCACCCTTGTAAAATGGACCCAAAAGACCCGAATCTAAAGAACTCCCAATGTGTGTAAATGACCCAAACCCTAAACCCAAAGCTTTAAGCCCCAAAAGCCCTCAACCCTAAACCCTAAACCCCAAAAGCCCTAAACCCTAAACCCTAAACCCCAAAAGCCCTAAACCCTATACCCCTAAACCCCAAAAGCCCTAAACCCTAAACCCTAAACCCCAAAAGCCCTAAGCCCCAAAAGCCCTAAACCCTAAAAACCCTAAACCCTAAAACCCTAAACCCTAAAACCCTAAACCCTAAACCCCTAAAGCCCTAAACCCTAAACTCCTGGCCTTCGAAGAGATCGACCTCGTAGCTGTTGCCACCCTCGTCGAGCAAGCCTCGCTTCACTGCGCAATCTCTGAGGAGCCGGCTTAGGGGTTTTAGATATTGGGGTTTAGGGTTTAGGGTTCAGGGGTTTAGGGTTCGGGGTTTAGATGTTGGGGTTTAGGACTGTTTGGTGTGCATTTTTTTGGGGGTTTAGGATGGTTTTGGGTTTTGGGTTTTGGGGGGGAGGGGGTATAGGGGTTTAGGATGGCTTAGGGTTTAGGATGGTTTAGGGTTTTAGGAGGGTTTAGGGTTTTAGGGTTTAGGATTATAGAAACCCGACCTGCAACGGGTGCCGTGTCTTGGGCTGCCCTGTAGGATTTGGGCTACACGCTTGCCAGAGTCAGAGTCGGTATCCCCAGAGCTTGACAAGAGTGGTGCTAAAGGTAAACAAGTCAGGTAGGGTTATAGTATAATGGGCCCCGAAAACCCTATCCTAATTATAAAGGCCTCCATATTATAAACGGGATTAAGTTCGTGTAACGAGATAGACAACATCCTGGACCATCGGCACGATGCTGCCAAACCAATTGAGGCCACAAGTTCTCTCAACAGTAAATAGCCTCTCCAAACTCAGCACAGGATTGTTGCACCTGGATTTAGGAAGGTCTGTGTTTCCGGGAATTGCTGCCGGCCTGGGTCATGAAACCTGGTGTTCGGGGCTTTAGGATTTAGGTTTCTGGATTCTGGGTTTAGGGTTTCAGGCTTTGCTCAGAAGGCTGGGGACTGCTTCGGAGTTTCTACGAAACTGCGCTTCCTCCCTCCGCCAGGCCTTCTCTTGAAGTCACCCCTTTCGACATCTCTAGCTCTCGCGACCCCTATGAAAGCCCTAACCAGAGTCAAGTATGGGATCTCGATTCTAGCAGATGGGTTTATTGTTTAGGGTTTAGGGTTTAGGGTTTTCGGGTTTAGGGTTTAGGGCTGAAGCCAAGCTACTGACTCTGCCAGGAAAGAAGCTCTCCTCGTTCGCCTGGGATCGGCGAAGTCGGCCGATACGCCGTAAACCCTGCGTGAGCCTCCACTCCGAAACCCCCAAGCCTAGACGCACAAACTCAAGTTCTCTACTGCCGGATTCCACCCAGAAACATTCCCGAACCCTTTCAACCCCGAAGCCCCACCCTTATAAAAATTGAACAGACCTTAGTAAAACACGAACAAAGACCTCAGACATGAACCCCCAACAGGTTAAGGTTCATGGCCTTAGGATGTCTTAGGGTTTGGGGGTTACGGGTGTAGGGCTGCAGGATTTACTACGGATTTTCAAGTCTAAGGCCTAGGGGTTTATGGTTTACGGTCTGTGGCTTAAGGTTGTAGGCTTTAGGGTGTAGGGTTCCAGGTGTAGGGTTTAGGGTTGCGTGCTCGAACCATGTAATGTAGGGGCACTATTGTAATTATAGTATACTCTACCCCCAAACCCTGTTCTAATCATTAAGGCTCCTATGTCAACTAGCGGTTTGCAACTGTGCCTCAACACACGACGAGCATCATCAACCTGTTCGAGCATTCCCATAGCCCAGGCAGATGTTCCTCCATCCCTCTGCTTCAGGACAAGCAATCGCCAGTAGATTCCCAACATCACACCTAGGTCGGGGCTTGGCTTAGGGTTTAGGAAGTTTAGGGTTTAGGGTTTAGGGATGCTTCTGGGCTTTAAGTGGGCAGCATTTAGAAAGTGTTAGGGCCCAGACTCGGGCTCTTGGTTGTAGGACTGGGATTCGGGGTGAGGTTCGTTGCTAGCAAGACGCAAACCTCCTGTACCTGCTTGGGAGAGATGCCTCCAAAATCCGAACCCTGAACCCCAAACCCCATAAGTCCTTAAGAAAATCAAAGACCGTGAAGTGCCGCCAACCGCCGGTGCCTGACACGTGGCAGGTTGGAGCCCAGTTGAGAAAAACGGAGACGACAAGAACAAGAACAATCAAACACAACTAACACAACAGTTACAGCAAGAAGAAAATAATCATAAGAAGCGCGAGCCCTAAACCCTAGACCGTGAATGTAATGCCTGGAGCTCGACAAACAAAGAAGTCATCAACAAATCGGAGAACTCCTGCAGTCCAAGACCAGAAACCCTAAACCGCCAACCCACAAATCCTTCTTGGAGGTTCATGGCTAGTTATACGATAAACCCTAAACCCTAGAACCCTAAACCCTAAACCCTAGGGCTTGTAGGTCCCCTGATATTGGTTATAATTATAGTTTCCCTACTTTTAACCGCCTACGTACAACTACTCAAGAACCTACAAGGGGGTAGTTTTCTAAATTAGGGTCCCTTTTTAGGTCCCAAAAATAATACGGCACCCTTATAAAAAGGACCCAAAAAGCGACCCTAATTTAGAGAACTACCCAAGTACAGACAGTCTCTGTACGAGGCACTCACCACCCGCTGCTTATCGCAGGGATTGCTGCTGGCGTGGCAGAGTTGGCAGCAGGTGCTAGTACCATTCCT